CCGTCCGCAGCCGTCCGCGCAGCCAAGCTCGCTGATCTCCAACGACTTCTTCTCCCCATCCATTTCCAGCCACCCCCTTGCACCCACAGCTTCCTCACATCCAATGCTCGCTCATCCCCAGCGGTTTTTTCCCCCACCCATTTCCAGCCACTCCCTTGCACCCACGCCGTCCGCAGCCGTCCGCGCAGGCAAGCTCGCTGATCTCCAGCGGCTTCTTCTCCCCACACATTTCCAGCCACCCCCTTGCACCCACGTCGTCCGCAGCCGTCCGCGCAGCCAAGCTCGCTCATCCCCAGCGGCTTCTTCTCCCAACCCATTTCCAGCCACCCCCTTGCACCCACGCCGTCCGCAGCCGTCCGCGCAGCAAAGCTCATCCCCAGCGGCTTCTTCTCCCCACCCATTTCCAGCCACAGCCTTGCACCGACGCCGTCCGCATCCGTCCGCGCAGCAAAGCTCGCTCATCCCCAGCGGCTTCTTCTCCCCACTCATTTCCTTTCCCTTCCTTTCCCTTCCTTTCCCTTCCTTTCCCTTCCTTTCCCTTCCTTTCCCTTCCTTTCCTTTCCTGTCCTTTCTGTTCCCTTCCTTTCCCTTCCTTTTCCTTCCTTTCCCTTGCGCCCACACCGTCCGCACACCACCGTTCAAAGCAGCTCGCTCCCCACGCGGTTAAACAACTAAACGAGAACCCAAGCATCGAAGATGCTTTTGGGAAAAATAGAAGGAAAACGGAAGGAAAGAGAATGAGAAAAGGAAACGAAGGAAGAAGAGAGGACAAATCAAACAAAAGGGAAATAGAATAAAATAAATGAAATGCAGAATTGGATTCAAAATCAATTTTGTTTTACTTCAGAATTCAATAGGAAAATAGCAGGAAAAAGGAAGGAAGGACAAAGAAAGGGAAACAAAGGAATACGAAATTCAAACTAAAGAAAAGCACATAAACGGAATTCATAATTAGATTATGATTAAACATTAAAATTATGCTTCAGTTTAATTCAGAATTCTTCAGTTTAATTCAGAATTCGGTTGCGTATAGATGAAATTTTAGTTCTACTGCTCTGGGCCTGGGAGAAAAATAGCTGCCTGCAGCAAGCAACGGCTCAATCACCTTGGACAACAAATGGTATGGCAACTGCTAGAAACGTGGGCGCTGCCGGTTGATTCTTCTTCATCAATTTTGCCCATCGCGTGAAGGCACACAACAATATCCGCCGACCCCAGCGCGCTGCAGGGGGAGCGCGTTAGAGAAACCACGGACTTAGGCTTGCAGCAGTTGGTGTTGTTCTTGTAGTCTTAGATCGTAGATCTTAGATCTGGAAATGGTTTTGCTGCTTTGCTAGCACTCGGCGTTAATGTTGTTCTTGTTTTGCGATCTTCGATCTGGAAGTCGTTGTGCTGTAGCTTAGTAGTAGGGGGTGTCCGGCACAGGTGCATGGGAGGGATCTCCTGTCCGTCCGTCCGTTTGGCACCCCGTCCGTCCTTCAGGGTGGCGGGGCTAGGGCCCTGCGAAGCTGACGTTTTGGAGCCGGAATTCCAGGTGAATGTTTTAATCGAAGGAAGTTTAGAAGTCAAACTTCCGACAATATGGACAGATGAAAAGCAGAGCAGGGCAGAGGCAGAGAGAAGAGGAAGATTAGAAGAGAGAAGATCAGAAGAGAAAGAGTCAGAAGAAAGAAGATGCAGATGCGCGAAAAGGTAGGAAAGTCGCGAAACACTGTGTTTTTCCAATGATTTTGTGGCTCAGGAGGGTCGAAAGTAGGCTCGTTAAAGCGGCGGGTGCGGAGGCAACTCGCCAGATGAGAGATGAAAAGTTGCACGCCGTTGTGGCGCGAAGCACATTTGCAAGTCAAAAGGTACAAAACACCTCAGCTCCGGACCACTTTTGGAAGTTGCAATGCCGAAAAAGTGCACGCCGTTGTGGCGCGAAGCACATTTCGAAGTGAAAAGGTACAAAACACCTCAGCGTCGGACCACTTTTGGAAGTTGAGATGTCGAAAAAGTGCACGCCGTTGTGGCGCGAAGCACATTTCCAAGTGAAAATGTACAAAGCACACCAGGTCCGGACCACTTTTGGAAGTTGAGATGTCGAAAAAGTGCACGCCGTTGTGGCGCGAAGCACATTTCGAAGTCAAAAGTGTTAAAAACTGGCGGTCTCGGACCACTTTTGGAAGTTGAGATGTCGAAAAAGTGCACGCCGTTGTGGCGCGAAGCACATTTCCAAGTCAAAATGTACAAAACACACCATTCTCGGACCACTTTTGGAAGTTGAGATGTCGAAAAAGTGCACGCCGTTGTGGCGCGAAGCACATTTCCAAGTCAAAAGTGTAAAAAACTGAGGGTTTTGAGCCTTTTTTGACGTTAAGATGTCGAAAAAGTAGACACTGATTAACTTAACTAACTTGACTAACTTAACTACCCTAACTTCGACGACAACAGCAACAGCAACAGCAACAACAACAACAACAACAACAACAACAACAACAACACCAACCACAACAACTACAACTACAACAACTACAACTACAACAACTATACAACAACTACAACTAGAACTACAACTACAACAACTACAACAACAACAGCAACAACAACAACAACAACAGCAACAACAACAACAACTACAACTACAACTACAACTACAACTACACAACAACTAGAACTACAACTACAACAACAGCAACAACAACAACTACAACTACAACAACTACAACAACAACAACAACAACTACTACTACACTACACAACAACTACAACCACACAACAACTACAGCTACAACTACAACTACAACAACGACAACAACAACAACTACTACAACAACTACAACTACAACTACTACAACTACAACTACAACTACAACTACAACTACAAAACAACTACAGCTACAACTATATGACTGCAACTACACTACACTAATTACATTACACCACAACTACAACTCCACTAGGCTACAACTACAACTACAGTTGCAGTACATCACACTACATCCAGCAGTTGTGGGTGAGGTGACCACTGCAACCATTGCAACCATTCCAGCAAACATAACTCCAACCACCTTTCGGTCAATCAGTGGATTCGCTCTGCCATCCGTGATTCACAACAACCAACGTCTCCTATAGGTTTCCTATTCTGAAACTTCCGCCACCGCCTTGTGCGGTACTACTGGTATGTTTTAATCGGTTTCAAAGGCGACGTTAGGCCTTTAGGTGGTGAGCCGTGGGGAACCCGTCCATCCTTCAGGTGGGTGGGGCTAGGCCCCTGCGAAGCCGACGTTTTGGAGCTTTCCAGGTGAATGTTTTGGTCGGTTTCAAAGGCGACGTTAGGCACTCAGGAAGGAACATGTTTTGGTCGGTTTCAAAGGCGACGTTAAGCCCTTTGGGGGTGAGCCGTGGGGAACCCGTCCGTCCTTCAGATAGGGCCCTGCAAAGCAAACATTTTGGAGCTTTCCAGGTGCATGTTTTAGTCGGTTTGAAAGGCGACGTTAGGCTCTCAGGGGTTGAGCCGTGGGGAACCCGTCCGTCCTTCAGGTGGGTGGGGCTAGGGCCCTGCGAAGCCGACGTTTTGGAGCCTTCCAGGTGCATGTTCAGTCGGTAAAGGCAACGTTAGGTCCTCAGGGGTGCAGCCCGTCGGTCCTTCGAAGCCGACGTTTTGGAGCAACAGACGTTAGGCCCTCAGGGGTTGAGCCGTGGGGAACCCGTCCGTCCTTCAGGTGGGTGGGGCTAGGGCCCTGCGAAGCCGACGTTGAATGTTTTAGTTAGTTTCAAAGGCGACGTTAGCCCCTCAGGGGGTGAGCCGTGGGGAACCCGTCCGTCCTTGAGGTGGCTGCTCTGTTTTGGAACCTTCCAGGTCCTATAGGTGAGTGTTTCAGTCCGTTTCAAAGGCGGCGTTAGGCCCTCAGGGGGGTGAGCCGTGGGCAGCCCGTCCGTCCTTCAGGTGGGTGGGGCTAGGGCCCTGCGAAGCCGACGTTAGTGTAATGTAGTGTAGTGTAGCGTAGTGTAGTGTAGTGGAATGTAGTGTAGTGTAGTGTAGTGTAACGTACTTGAGTGTAATTGAGTGTAGTGTATTGTAGTGGAATGTAGTGTAGTGTAGTGGAAAGTAGTGAAGGTGTAGTTGTAGTTGTAGTGTATTGGAGAGTAGCGTGGTGTAGTGGTGGTTGTAGTTGAAATTGCTACAAAACCCTCACATTTGGCTCACTTTCGGCAAGGTGCACCATCCCCTGCGCCTGCCACGCCGAACGACATCTGAACGTCCAAAAGTGGTCCGAACCCCTGGCGCTTTTAACATTTTGACTTCGAACTGTGCTTCGCGCCACAACGGCGTGCAATTTTTCGACATCTGAACGTCCAAAAGTGGACCGAACCCCTGATGCTTTTAACATTTTGACTTCAAAATTTGCTTCACGCCACAATGGCGTGCACTTTTTCGACATCTCAGCTTCCAAAAGTGGTCCGAAGCTGGTATGTTTTGTACATTTTGACTTGGAAATGTGCTTCGCGCCACAACGGCGTGCACTTTTTCATCTCTCATCTGGCCAGCTGGCTCCGCACCCCCCGCTTTAGCGAGCCTACTTTTCGACCCTCCGGAGCCACAAATCATTGGAAAAACACTGTGTTTCGCGACTTTCCTACCTTTTCGCGCATCTGCATCTTCTTTCTTCTGACGACTCTCTTCTATCATCTTCTCTCTTCTACTCTTCTCGGAAGTTTGACTTCTAAACTTCCTTCGACTAGTACTTTTACTACTACTGCTACTCATACTTATACGTGCACCTATACTTTTACCTATACTTACACTTGTACTTGTATGTATTCTTATAAGCTCCAAACCCTGCGGCAACATCATGTCCAATCCCCCCGCCTTCGAAAGAGACTGTTCCCTTCTTTGAAGATTCCCCCCTTCCAAAGAAGATCCCCTCCTATCTGTACGTGATTGGGCACATAAGAACTTGATGGACCTAGTCAAGAAATCCAAGCTGTGAAAGAACAGCCCTCATGGCCCGGCCCGCCTTTTGTTGCATCACCAATCTGTCGAAGGCCCTCGTAGGAGAGCCTTTGCAGCCATGCCTCTTGGAGTCAAGCATCCTTGGTGGGTCGGTCACTGCCACCAAACACAAATGGAAGACGAATGCATCACCTACATAAGTTACCAGAGTTCTGCAATTTTTTTTCCGGATGGAAGAAATGGTATGCTTTCACTTCAGCTTCGCAAGCTTGACAAGATTCCATGTCTGCGGTCGTCTTCCATGAAGCTGGTCGATCACTTTAAAAGCTTCGGCCCAGTCTATTCTGTAGACCCAGTCCTGGCGGAAAGTGGTGACGTGAAAAACGGGTGGAACAAACACAAACCCAACGGTAGGCTTGGACCAGGCGGCAACAATCCCAGTTCGGATGTAGTGAGCAGGTACTAACTCAGCCCCACCACCGCATAAACACGGAACATCACACTTTATACCACCGCCTTTTGCATCAAGGAAAAAGGAAACCGCCATTGCAGACCTTTGCAAGACATGTAACTCGTGTGCAGGCGCATCACACACTGCAACAAGACGACCCAGTGGAAAAGTCGTCGTTTGAAGCAATAGGGATCAAAGAGGCTAATCAGAAACTAGAAAAACGGAAAATTCTCTAGGCACCTAGACGATCAGAATGGAGGACGGACAGAAAAGCAAGAAGAGAGATAGAGGCAAATGATAAGAGGGATTACATGTATACAGTGCAACAGGTATGATTACGCGCATGTGATTCCATCACCTTTGCAGACTACGAACCATCTGACCACATGCAACTAATGTCGGTCTCTGATTGGTAGCTAGGTTCGCTAAATTTTTCCAAATTATTCTGAAACCCATGTATTGTTTGGAGGGTTCACTTTTGTGGCAAAAAAAATTGGGAGAGCTTTTTTTGGGAAAAAAACAACCTGTAATTGCTGAGAGGTACTACAAATACTACAAGTACATACAAGTACTACAAGTACCACAAGCTCATCCGCAAAAAACAGTTTTAATTAGATTTCAACTGTAGCCAATTGAAATCCTTACTTAAGTGAGGATTTGTTTTTCTCTTGGGAAGAAAGTTTTTGACTTTCCACTTTAAAGAGAGTCCAGATATTGTTTAGAGGGGGGGGGCCTCACACTAATCAGGAACCAACATTAATAACATATATATATATCATATATCATATTAGAAATAAAGAATGACTTTCTAAGGGTGGAAGGCCAGCTGCATGCCCGCCAAAAGCGCCGCTTGAAACACAAAAGCGCTTTGCATCTGATACAGTAGACTCTGACCAGTACAAATGCCAAACGAGAGAATGATGTATTTGTGGGAAAAGTAGAAGACGATGTTTAGCATACCATTTGCCATCATGCTGCCGTTCCATTTAGGAATGTTTCTTGACAGCAACCTTTTCCGTGTCCAAGCGTCCTGCAAGAGGCTATAGTTGGGGCCGCTGCTGCAAAGATCATGACTTTCGTGCAGTTCCTCCCGGTGGAGGCCTGCAGTCTGGGGACACCTTCCGCTCAATGATCGTGGCTTCGCACAAGCGGTCCATTTTGGTCAAGCGATGTCATTGCTTCCCATTGCTTGCAGCCTGGGTGCAAAGAAACACTCGCTCCACCATTGAAAGGCAAACCACTCTTTCAAGGAGCACCTCAGGTCACAGGGTGCAACCTAGCCGAGCAAACCCAGCAACACGCGGAGGCTGGTAGAAATCTTCTTCGGCTTCCCCCTATCTCATCGTATCCTCTTCGTGATTTTTCTATACTTGCTTTTTAAACGCAGAAAGGCGCCTCGACTGAAGTTTTCAGGAAGATTTTCCCATCGCTGTTGATCTCGACCTTTCTGGCAGAAGTGGCTAAAGCCTTTTGGCTTGCAGGTTTGTGACCCCTACTGCAATGACATACTCAACAAAAAGGGCCTCCATGCCAGACGGCGGGAGAAGGCCCAATTAGATTGCGTGACGTGATCAAAGGGCACGGAGGATGAACCACAGCTGACGCGAATCTAAGCAAGCACCGGGTTAACGCGCGAAAGCCACTAATAAACGCGCAGCTACCCTTCAAAAAACAAGTTTTGAAAATTTGATTGTATCTCGCAATCAGAATCAGACCTGCGCCCGTCCCCCAAAAAAAGTCTAGAGGATGGGCACCACACCCTCTGCCAGAGGAAAAAAAGCGTGTGTGCAATGGGATCACACACTGATAAGGGCTACAGATTTGAATCGCTCAAGAAATGGAAACCAGAAAAAGATGAGACATGAGAACCAGAAGGCCAACAGGAAACGGAAAATAGACTGAAAGTGCTGCAACCCAGTGAAGATTCCTTTTCCACTGCCAGGGGCACGCATGTCTCACGGCAGCCAATGCTCTAACATGCCTATCTGAACTGTCATTGTTATAATATGTTATAATATCACCATGGGTCACAGTCAGATGGTGGGGAACAAAAGTCACACACACACACATCTGCATCATGGCTAGACTAAGTCTAGATCCATCACACCCACTGTCAATCACACCCACTTTTCAAATACCATGCAACTGCGCCCGCGCTAACTCTTCTCAAAGAGAACCGCGGCTGTGTCTGAACCTAGTACCTGGGAGCCTTTTCTGCCATTAAATTAATATCCGGAAGCCTTTTCTGCCACTAAACTATTTTAGTGATATGCGGAAGCATTTTCAGCCGCTAAATTAATATCCGCGGCCGCTAAATTAGTATCCGGGAACCTTTTCGTCCACTAAAGTGGTATCCCACAACCTTTTCTGCCACTAAATAACTATCCGGTGCCACTAAATTAGTCTGCGGAAGCCTTTTCTGCCACTAAATTAATATCCGGAAGTTTTTTCTGCCATTAAATCCGGGAGCTTGATATCCGCGAGCCTTTTCTGCCACTAAATTACTATTTGGAGCCGATGTGGTCCCACGCAGCTTTCAAACAATAATTACGTGGACCCATTTCTTACCTTAGAGGCACCGGGGAACAACAGCAACTCGCAACGGCCAAAGTAGTAGTAGTAGTAGTAGTAGTAGTAGTAGTAGTAGTAGTAGTAGTAGTAGTAGTAGTAGTAGTAGTAGTAGTAGTAGTAGTAGGTAGTAGTAGTGTAGTAGTAGCAGTAGCAGTAGGAGTAGTAGTAGTAGTAGCAGTAGTAGTCGCAGTAGTAGTCGTAGCAGTAGTAGTAGTCGTAGTAGTAGTAGTAGTAGTAGTGAGTAGTAGTAGTAGTAGTAGTAGTAGT